CCAGAGGAAAGTGAAGTTCTGTGGTCATGCTGGGGCAGTGGGACGCTGTCCTGTCCTGGGGCCTGGGCAGGAGTTCTGTGATCATGCTAGGGCACAGGACACTGTAATGTCCTGGGGCCTGGGCAGAAGGAGGGGCCAACCCTTTGCAGCCTCAGGACCAGAAGAACCTGAGAGAGACACAAAGGTCCGGCGGCACTGGTTCCGAGGTCAGGGCCCATGTGGCTTCCCTTAGGGCTCATGTACATGCTGCTGAAGCACCTGGTAGACAGGTACAATCTCTACTACGCCTACCTGCCGGCCAAGCTGGACAAGAAGATCCACTCGGGGGCTGTGAACCAGGTGGTGGCCGCGCCCATCCTCTGCCTCTTCTGGCTGCTCTTCTTTTCCACCATGCGCACGGGTGAGGGATGCCCACCTGGGGAATGGGGGATGAGCAGAGGGGATTCCAGCCAGAATCCAGGCAGAGCAGGTCACAGGAGGAGCCTCATGGCAGGGGGCGGCAGGCAAGGAGCCTGGGAGAAGCTGGGGTGAGGCTATAGCACCTGGAAGAGTGAGGACTGCATTCAGAGGGTATCAGAAGCTGGGACGGAGAGGCCCAGGGGGCCCACAGGAGAGATAGCAACCCCATTCTTTGCCCCCAACACCAGGGTTCCTAGCTCCCACGTCTATGTTCACATTTGTGGTCCTGGTCATCACCATCGTCATCTGTCTCTGCCACGTCTGCTTTGGACACTTCAAATACCTCAGTGCCCACAACTACAAGGTGTGGGGCGAGGGTGGCAGGGGGATGGCTGCGGGCAGGAGCTCAAGGGGATGCAGAGGGCTCCCAGGGCTGGCAAGGGCTGAGGGCAGCACCAACAGAGCCAAGTGGGCACAGGGCCTTGATCAGGGCTGAGGACATGCTCCCACTCCCTGACTCATTCTGGACCCCTCAAGATTGAGCACACGGAGACAGATACTGTGGACCCCAGAAGCAATGGACGGCCCCCTACTGCTGCTGCTGTCCCCAAATCTGCGGTGAGTGCCCCTAAAGGGTTGGGAGGGGCCTCTGACAGACTTTGCCTCAAAGCCGGATGTCCCCTTAGTCCTGCAGTAAGGGAAACCTGTTCCAGACCCCATGGGTGGGGAGAAAGCTGGTCTCCCTGGAGGGCCGCCCCCACCCCCAGGGCCCTGCCCACTCTGCTGTCCTACAGGCCCTGGTGTTCCCTCCACCCATGAGGGGTAGCTATTCACCTTACCCCCAATTCCTCTCCCCCTTCAGAAATACATCGCTCAGGTGCTGCAGGACTCAGAGGTGGACGGGGATGGGGATGGGGCTCCTGGGAGCTCAGGGGACGAGCCCCCATCATCCTCATCCCAAGATGAGGAGTTGCTGATGCCGCCTGACGGCCTCACGGACACAGACTTCCAGTCTTGCGAGGACAGCCTCATAGAGAATGAGATTCACCAGTAAGGGGAGGGAGGGCCCTGGAGGCCACATCCTGCCCCATCCCACCCCCACTCCCATGGACACTAAAACGCTAATAATTTATTAGATCTAAAGCCCCTTCCTCCCAAGCCCCTGCTTTCATTAAGGTATTCAAACCTGGGGATTTTGCCGCTCTCCCCCATGATGGAGGGAGGGAGGGAGCCCCTCAACCTCAGTAAGGAGAGCCCCGAGCCGGCCCCGGGGCAAAGAGGGGTACGGAGGGAGTTCCCCCAAATCAGTACCCCCACCCCTCCCCAGCTAGTCGCATGACCAGGAAAGGGTTAATGAGAACCGAGAGGAGTACCTGGTGCCATGGCTAGAGACCTGGGGAGGCAGGTGGATCAGGGGCTGTCCCCCAGGTTCTTTCCTCCCCACAGTTCCTCCTGGGATCTGGCCCTCCAGGGAAGTGGAGCCTCCAGCCCCTAGGGGATGCATGAGAGGGGAGGGGGTGCTGAGTGGGAGGAAGAGTCAGGCTCAGAGCTGGGGTGGCCTTGGGGTGGGGGTGGGCAAGGCTGACACTGGAAAATGGGTTTTTGCACTGTTTTTTTTTTTTTTTTTCCTTTAAAATAAAACAAAGAGAAAAGCTCTGAGGCAGGTGTCTGACTTGTGCTGCCCTAGGCACCTGGGCTGGGCCTCCCCACCCTCCTGTCTGGGGGGCCTGTTTGAGGTCCCTACGTGATGCGGGGCAAGGGACTTGTTCAGAGTCTCATTTCTGTGTCAGGGAGATGAGAGAGTGAAACCAGGGAGAGACTTCAGGGGTATCTCAGATGCAGGAAGGGCCCCTGTGCCCAGGTGGCCACCACACCAGCCCCACCCACTCTGATCCTTCCCCTGAGTCCTTGAGCAACACACGTGACAGAAATCAGGGAGAAAAGGTTGTGCAAAGCCCCAGGGTCCATGCTGGGCCAGGAAGAAGGCCCTTCTGAGCACCTCAAAGTAAGTCTGGCCCCAGCCCATCTGTCCCTTCCCCAGGATGGCCTGAGCTCCTTGCTGAGAAGCCCCCTCCCACCCTCCAGTCAAATCTTACCCATTCTCCAAGAGCCAACTCAAATTCGCCTTCCCTTCAAGCGTAGTGGCTCACGCCTGTAACCCCAGCACTTTGGGAGGCCAAACTGGGCGAATCACCTGAGGTGAGGAGTTTGAGACCAGCCTGGCCAACAAAACCCTGTCTCTACAAAAATACAGAAATTAGGTGGACATGGTGTTACACGCCTGTAATCTCAGCTACTTGGGAGGCTGAGGCATGAGAATCACTTGAACCTGGGAGGTGGAGACTGCAGTGAGCCGAGATCTCTCCACTGCATTCCAGTCTAGATGACAGCAAGACCCTGTCCCAAAAAATTTTTTTTTCACCATCTTGGGAGAAAAGTCCTGTGACTGCTGTAGCCCACCCTGCAAAAGGCCCACAGGGCCATGTGGTTCACACCCACATACGTGTACACACGGTGTGTGCTGCATGTATGGCGAGAGCCAGGAGGCCTGCATTCCAGTCCTTATTCTGTCACTAAATCGCTTTGCAACCCTGAAGAAAAGGAAGAAAAAGGAACTCCTAGAGGGAAGAAAAGAGACCTCAGGAGGAAGAGGAGGACCAGGTTCCGCAAAGGTCAACAAAAAGCCACCAGCAGCAGGAACAGCAGGCACAACAACCCAGATGAAGATTGCCCAGGTGCCAGCAAGGAGCTGGAGCAAAGAGTGCCCAAGGTCCAGCCCCAGGTTGCAGAGAGCTGCAGCAAACAGCTTGGAGGGCCAGTGTTCATGGTTGCTGGCTGTGGGTGGAGGATGGGCCAGTGACAGTGAGATGAAAGTTGAGGCCTTGATCCTGGATCAGCCTCCGTTTATATGTCAGATCTGCAGTGTTGTAAAACATGAACTCCCAGGTGAAGTCCCCAAAGTCTTGGGGCCAAGGGAGCAGAGTGCCTGCTGGTGGTTGGGCAGAAATTGACATGGGAAGGAGCACCTTAGTTGTTGAAGGCTTCCTGGTGCTCCCAAAGCCTGTTTTCTGTATAGATGGGTAGGCATACCACTGCCTTTTGCCTGGGAAGCTCCCTTGTCTGCACAGCATGGGCTGGACAGACCTCAGCCCCCACCTCTAGTTAGCTGAGACCCCCTCATTCTTCACCTGCCCGGCATGCCTTCCCTTTCCTGTAGGGTATCCTGGCAGGGCCTGAAGTTCAAAACCAGGTTCCAGCATTTCCAGATGTGAAACTCCAGATAATCCCCAAGGGGATTATCTTTCTATGCAGAGCAAGGGTCCTGAGGACAGCCCTTCCCAGGGTGGGAGGCTATCAGAGAGGAACACCTGTGCCCACCTGCACCCTGCCCCTGGCACCTTGTCACAGAGGCAGATCACAGTAGATAGATCTGAGAGGTGCAGTAGTGGAATCAGGAGTGGGTACGGGAGACCACAGGATCCCCAAAGTCCACTGCCTCCTTTCACAGCTGGGGCGGCAGAAGATACGGATAAGAGCTGAAGTTACTGGTTCAAATCCTGGCTTGACCACTTAACAACTGTAGGCCTGGGCAAGTTCCATCATACCCCTGGACCTCACTTTCCTCATCTTTAAAATGAGAATAGCGATGTCATAGCCTCAAGCCGTTTTAAGGATTAAATAAGTAGGAAGTTCTTAGCCCAGTGTTTGGCACAGAACAACTGAATAAACTGTAATGAATATTCTTATAGATGAGGAGATTGAGTCCCAGCAAAGGGGAAGCGGGGAGCCTTGCCCAAGGTCAGCTCCAGTGTCAGAGGTTGGAACAAGGTTCTGTGCTCCCATCGGGTGCTCTCGAACCTGTTCTGTGCCAGATTAGCACCAGGCAGGGCTGAGGGGCACTGCGATGACCTTGACCGTCCCTGTCCTCAGCCATCACACACTCCGGAGCAGAGTTCTTAGCTCAAAGCATTCCCCCTTTCCGGTGCAGAGGCAGGTCATAAGGTCAGACCAGTGGCCTAACCATGACAGACTGGGGCCCCGCAAGGAGGGTGCTGCAGGTGGAATTGTCCCCAGAAAGGCATGTTGAAGTCCTAGCTCTCAGTACCTCAGAATGTGGCCTCATGTGGACATAGGGTGGTTGCAGATGTACTTTGCTAAATTAAAATGAGGTCAGGCTGAAATGCCTGAGTCCATAGCCCCATATAACTGGTGTCCTTATAAGAAGAAGAGACACAGAGGAGGATGCCGTGTGAAGACAGCAACACAGGAAAAGTGTCATGTCAGTGAGAAAGGGGGTTTTGGAAATGAAAAGGCCCAAGGTCAAGTTGTAAAGTTCGGGTTGGTATGTCAGGAACAAACCCTTCCTGGAAACCTTGGGCTGAAAGAAAGGGCCTGGGACCTACCCTGATGGGATGACAATGATACAGTGAGGACAGCCAGGTGGAGGCTGCCCACGGTGGGGGTGCTGGGTCATCTGTCCCTAAAGCGTGGCCCTCAGCTGGGGAAGGGGCCGGGTTACTGAGGAGAAAGGGGGAAGGCAGCTGTTAAGCGGGCCACTGACCTAGGAATTCACTGCAATGAGAGAGTTCCGAGGGGGGAGGGTCTCTTCTCCCCCTCCCACCAGAACCTTCAACTGTCAAGCACTGAGCTAGCCACCAGCATGCAGTCCTCCCCAGGTAGGCACTCATGGGGCCCTGCTTCTGTGCCTCCTGCAGGCTAGGGCCTCCCCCCACGGAAGGAGCTGTGTCTCCCATCAGACTGGGTACCCTTAAGGGTATAGGCAGTGACTCTTCCATCAGACTGGATGCTTCCTAAGGGCAGGACCTGGGCCTCTTCCTCAGACTGGGGAAGAATAGGCCACTGGTGGTCAGCCTGGGTGGTAGGCCAGGCAGAAATTTCCTCCTCTCCACTGACAGATGGAGTTGGGGAGAGGAAAATAGGCCAGGTGTGATGGTTCATGCCTGTAATCCCAGCACTTTGGGAGGCCAAGGCGGGCAGATCACGAGGTCAAGAGATCGAAAGCATCCTGGCCAACATAGTGAAACCCCGTCTCTACTAAAAATACAAAAATTAGCTGGGAGTGGTGGCACGTGCCTGTAGTCTCAGCTACTTGGGAGGCCGAGGCAGGAGAATTGCTTGAACCCGGGAGGTGGAGGTTGCAGTGAGCCGAGATCGTGCCACTGCACTCCAGCCTGGCGCCTGGCAACAGAGCAAGACTCTGTCTCAAAAAAAAGAAAAGAAAAAGAAAATCACTGACAGTAGATTTTAAGTGTTCTCACCACAAAAAAGTAACAAGTGTGTGAAGTAATGCAGCTATTAATTAGCTCAACTGAGCCATTCCACAGTGAATACATATTTCGAAACACCATGTCATACACAACAGATATATACATTTTTTTTCAGTAAAATAAAATAGATTTAGTTAAAATCGATCTACAGGTTCTCAGTCTGAAGGAGGAGACAGGACATGCAGCTGCAGCAGAAGGCTTCCCGTCTGGTCATGCGTTTTCATATGCAGCAGCCCTGCTTCCCACGCTTCGCCGTTTCAATTACCCACTGTCAACTGCAGTCTGAAAACATTCAGATATCTTGAGAGAGAGAGACCACATTCGCATCACTGCTATTGTTATAATTGTTCTATTTTATTACTTATTACGGTTTACCGCTTACTGTGCCTAAGTTGTAAACTAAACTTTATCATAGGTATGTACATAAAGGAAGACATAGTATTGATATATACAGGGTTTGGTACTACCTGCAGTTTCAGGTGTCCGCTGGGGGTATTGGAAATGAAGGCTCAGGGAGGTCAAACAACTAGCCCAAGCTCACCTAGGTATAAGGGGATCTACTGTGTTGCTCTGGCCATCTGTCTGTGCTTCCCACAGGCAGCCTTGGTCTATCTGTCTCAGCCTCCTGAGTAGCTAAAACTACAAGTACGTGCCACCACACTCAGCTGATTTTTGTATTTTTAGTAGAGACGGGGTTTCATCATGTTGGCCACGTTGGTCTCGAACTTCTGACCTCAGGTGATCTTCCACCTCAGCCTCCCAACTTGCTGGGTTTACAGGGGTGAGCCACCTAAGACATTTAGGCTCCCGACCCAAAGACATCATTTTCCATGACAACTGTGGTGGTGTGGACAGGTGTGTCACTCCTTCCTGCAAGTCAGACCTGAGTAATGAGCTCACACCCTGGGGGCTGGGTAAACCGGGTTTGGGTGCCAGACATTGAGAAATGGCTTGTTGGGCTGGGTGGTGACTAGGGGACAGAGGGCTCTGTGGAAATGAGACAAGGGGCGTGAGGTGGAACCTGCATTGCCTTGGTCTACCCTCTGATGTTCTTCCAGTCTTCTCAGACAACAGCATCTTCCCTGGTCCTTCTAGCCCCCTCAGTCCTCAGGGAAACCAGGGTAGAGGCTGCCTGGAGTTACTGCATGGTGGCAGGGCATGGAGTGGTTTGCCTCATCATGTGGGTGGCCTTAGATGATTCTCTCAGTCCAGGTGTATCAACCTCAGATCTCTTGACATTTTCAGCTGGAAAATTCTTTATTGTGGAGGATTTCCTCTACACTGAGGGGCACCCAGCAGCATCCCTGGCCTCTACCTACTAGATGCCAGTAGCCCCCTGAGACCTGCCCCAGTTATCACAACCAACATTGCTCCTAGACATTGCCACCTGTTCCCTGGGGGCCATAATCACCCAGGTTGAGAACCTCTGACGCAGTCTCTCTGTGGAGGCCCCTGGCTTCCACCCAGGTCAAATGGGGATAGTCACACCGATTTGCCAGCTTTGCAGACAGGGATCAGGGGATGACACAGAAGAGTTCAGCTCTCCCCTCCAGGCCTGCTCTCCACCCTACCCTCAGAAGCCCCTGGGGCTCCACTGTTTATCCCCTGATGGGGTGAGGGAGCTTCCATTACCATTTCCAAGAGAATCCCAGAGGGCTTGGGTTGGAAGAAGCAGGGTTTGAGAAAAATGGAGGGGAAAAGAGCGGGGAGAACTCCCAGATCCTGGCTCTACCCACCCTTTTCCCTGCTCCCCAGCCCTGATGCTTCCAGAACCAGGAAGTCAAAGTGCACCCCACCCTCAGGGGAATGGGACCTGCTTAGAGCAGGGAAAGGGGAATAGTCATTCTCCCACAGAATCTCCCTGATGATCCCAGCAGCCTGGTGGCCCTTCTTCCTCACACCTTCTCCTGTCTCTGTGGCCCATGGAGCTGAACCTGGGGAGGAATCACGTGGGAGGGTCCTCTCCATGCTCCATGTTGAGGGTGAATTCATCTTGATCCCTCAATGCCCAATCCAGAATAAATGCTCCATAAAACATGCCTGGTTGGGCACAGTGGCTCATGCCTGTAATCCCAGCACTTTGAGGGGCCGAGGCAGGCGGATCACGAGGTCAGGAGTTCAAGACCAGCCTGACCAATATGGTGAAATCCCGCCTCTACTAAAAATACAAAAATTAGCCGAGTGTGGTGACCTGTGCCTGTAATCCCAGCTACTCAAGAGGCCGAGACAGAAGAATTACTTGAACCCGGGAGGCTGAGGTTGCAGTGAGTTGAGATCGCGCCACTGCACTTTAGCCTGGGCGATAGAGCAAAACTCCACCTCAAAAAAACCCCAAAAAACACATGCCTAAGGCAAGCTAGGGTTTGCCCTCAGGAGCTCAAACCAGTGACAAAGGCAGAGAAATGCGCACATTGACTCCAATATGCGAGTAGTATCACTAGTATCATTAAATCCTATGATGGAGGGGCACATATGTGACATAGAGCAGGGGCCATGTGATCCTAGAAGGAGCTCAACAAACACCAGTTGACGAGCTAGGTCAGTGGGGAGAAGGTGACTAACATTTTCTGAGCACCCGCTAAACTCCTGTCCTTTTCACATACATTGCATTCTTCAATCCTGAAACACCCTTCCATGTAGAATGCAGCAGCCTCTATACATAGGTGAGGAAACCAAGGCTCAGGGAGGTCAAACAACTGGCCCAAGGTCACACAGCTAACACGCTGGCTTCAGTGCAGCCCAAGGCAATAGCTCTGCCAAAAAGGGACAAGCCACCCCCTCTCTAAACCGTTATCCATTCTCAACACCCCCTGCCAGCTGCTCCACATAGGGAAAGCGACTTCACAAAGACCATACACACGTTGCAGCGCACTGAGGGCTCATCCCTCTCCAGCACAGCTGTGGCCCCTCACCGCAGCCACCTCCCAGCAAGGCAGCGAGCGTGCCTACGTGTGAGCCCTGACACAAATGCCCACCGAGTCTGAGGAAGTTCAGTCTCTCTGTGCCTCAGATTCTCTCTCTGTAGCAGAGAAATCATAATACTAAGCTTAACCAGTGGGTTGTTGTGAGGATTCAATTAGCTATGCACATAGGGTGTTTAGAACAGTGCAGTGCATGTAGTAAGCCCTCATATGCTGCTATTATTTTTAGAAACGCCATGTAAGTGCTCACTACTCATAACTGAGGCAGGAGTCCTAATATCTTCTCATCACAAGCCACAGGCTCCATGGAGATGTGAAAGTCAGGATCCCGAGTCTCCTCAACCTTATTATCTTTTGTTTGTTTGTTTGTTTTGGAGATGGGGTCTCACTTTGTCACCCAGGCTGGAAAGCAGTGGAAGGGCTATGCCTCACTGCTGCTTCCAACTCCCAGGCTTAATCGATCCTCCCACTCAGCCTCCCGAGGAGCTGGGACCACGGGCCCATGCTACCATGCCCAACTAATTTTTTAAAAATTTTATTTTGTACACACAGGAGTCTCACCATGTTCCCCTTGCCGGTCCCGTGAAGCTGAGGAGGGAGGATCACTTGAGCTCTGGAATTTGAGGTTGTAGTGAGCCGTAATTGTGCCACTGCACTGCAGCCTGGGCAACAGAGTGAGACTATGTCTCAAAAAAGTATATAGCCAGGTGCGGTGGTTCATGCCTATAATCCCAGCACTTTGGGAGGTCAAGGCAGGAGGATCATGAGGTCAGGAGTTCAAGACCAGCCTGACCAATATAGTGAAATCCCATCTCTACTAAAAATACAAAAATTAGCTGAGTGTGGTGACTTGGGTAGATCTCCTGAGGTAGGGAGTTCTAGACCAGCCCAACCAACTTGGAGAAACCCCATCTCTACTAAAAATACAAAATAGCCAGGCATGGTGGTGCATGCCTGTAATCTCAGCTACCTGGGAGGCTAAAGCAGGCGAGTCGCTTGAACCCAGGAGGCGCAGGTTGCAGTGAGCTGAAATGTAGCCACTGTACTGTAGCCTGGGCGACAGAGTGAGACTCCGTCTCAAAAAAAAAAAAAAAAAGGGCCATTTGCAGTCTGGGAGTTGTCTGGAAGCCCTGGCCTCGGACACCAATGGTAGAAATGAGAAATTAGGGTCCTGTGAGGGGGTTCCTGTGTGAAGGACTCCATGACTGTTTTGATGTGGGATGTGGTGTGTTGGGATCTTGGAGACTGGGAGAACAAGGGGTCATTACAGGACCTGAGGAAGTCCCAAGGAGGCACTCATGTGAAACAGGAGAAGGGTTTGCTTGGGGCAGAGGCCAAAGGGAGGGGGTGTCAAGACATAGATTCAGCAGCAAATTGCCTGTGGATGCCCTTGTTGACAGAGATGCTGCTGCTTCCGCCAGCCTTTGGCTTAGGAGCAACACTTCCTCTCAGGAGGCGCAGTGTAGGGTGGAGGCTGCAAGCTTGGCTCAGGGTCAGCAGTCGAACTTCATCCCACGCCCAACCCTCACTCTGTGACCTTGGGCAAGCTGCTTAGTCTCTGGGCCCCTGCTCCATTTCCCAGTAATCAATATAGCAGGAACCACCTTGTAGGGCTGGCATGCCTGACACAGAGAAGGTGCTCGGTGCTGTCCGCTCTGCTGTTGCAATTAGTGTCCTGGTTCTGTCACTCAGGGGACATGGAATAACTGAGACCTCCTGCTCTTGCCTCTGGGGGACTCACTCTTCTGTGGGCGTAATCAGGGTCTCACCTCTAAACAACCCCTGCTGCCCTCCCTGTAGCTGCCGCCCAACCCAGTTCTTTTCCTCATTCTAAAATCTTCCTACACCCCGGCCCCAGCTGGGCTCTGTTTAACTTTAGACCACAACCTTCCTCCCCTCCTCCCACTCTCTTTCTTATTCTAGGACCGAGTCTTCCAGAGTCAGCGGAGAGCCTGGACAGATCACGGGAGGGTAACCGGGGCATGCATGTCCTACCCTGGGGCTCATGTCTGGGTAGGACTGCAGACCCCCCAGTGGCTCTGCAGCCTCCCTTTTTCTTCCTTCTCCTTCACTCTCTTCTCCTCCTCTGGGCCTGCTGGTGGGGGAAGTCAGTTGTGTTATGTGGGAGGGCGGGTGAGGCGGAGGCAACCCTCAGGAAGGGTTGTGAGCAGTTTGCAGTCCCACTGAGGGCGGAGGTATGGGCAGGGTGTCCCAAGCCACCTAGCAGGCATAGGATCCATCAGCCAGCCTGACTCGACTCTTACCCTGACAGTTGCCCAGTGCCACCTGCTCAGCCATTACCTGACCCAGCCCACCCTCAGCACCCGCTTCCGTCTGCCTTCTGCTGCTCTCTATAATCCATTATTTTCACTCTCCTTAAAAGAGCAATGTCAGGCCAGGCACAGTGGCTCAGGCCTGTAATCCAGCACTTTGGGAGACCTAGGCAGGTGGATCACCTGAGGTCTGGAGTTCGAGACCAGTCTGACCAATATGGAGAAACCCCGTCTCTACTAAAAGTATAAAATTACAGGCACATGCCTGTAATCCCAGCTACTTGGGAGGCTGAGGCAGGAGAATCACTTGAACCCAGGAGGTAGAGGTGGCGGTGAGCTGAGATCGCACCATTGCCCTCCAGCCTGGAGGACAAGAGTGAAAGAGCAGTGTCTCGGCTGTGCATGGTCATGCCTGTAATCCCAGCACTTTGGGAGGCTGTGGCGGGCAGATCACCTGAGTTCAGGAGTTCGAGACCAGCCTGATCAACATGGCAGCATCTGTTTGGATGGTCTGGAGGCCACTTTAAAAACAAACAAACAACAACAACAAAAACCCAGCTTTCTTGAGAGACAATTCAAATACCCTACAATTCACCCATTTAAAGTGAGTGAGGCCAGGACTGGAGGATTGCTTGAGCCTGGGAGTCCAAGACCAGTCTGGGCAACATAGTGAGATCCTGTCTCTAAAAAAAATTAGAAATTAAAAAATTAGACAGGCATGGTGGCACATACCTGTGATCCCAGCTGCTCAGGAGGCTGAGACGAGAAGGCCTTGAGCCTGGGAGGCCAAGGCTGCAGTGAGCCATGATCAAGCCACTGTACTCCAGCCAGGGCAACAGAGTAAGACTGTTTAAAAAAAAAAAATCCAAAGGATAATTCCAAAGTACAATTCCAGGTAGGTATGGCGGGAGTACAAGACCAGCCAACAGGACAAGACTTTGCCTCTTAAAAAAAATGGAAAAAAATTAAACGAAGTGTATAATTAAATGGATTTTAGTGTATTCACAGAGTTGTGCATCCAACACCATAACCAATTTTAGGTTGTTTTCATTACCTTCCCAACGAAACCCCATACCCTTACAGCCATCAACTTCTAATCCCCCATCTCCTTAAGCACCAGGCAATTCCTAATCTACTTTCTGTCTCTCTATATATTAGATATTTTATATAAATAGAATCAAACAATATGGAGTTCTTTGTTGGAGTGCAGTGGTGTGATCTCGGCTCACTGCAATCTCCATCTCCTGGGTTCAAGCAGTTCTCCTGCTCAACCTTCCAAGTAGCTGGGATTACAGGTGACTGCTACCACACCTAGCTAACTTTTTGTATTTTTAGTAGAGATGGGATTTCGCCATGTTGGGCAGGCTGGTCTCAAACTTCTGACCTAAGGTGATCTGCCCACCTCGGCCTCCCAAAGTGTTGGGATTACAGGCATGAGCCACCATGCTTGGCCTATTTATTTATTTATTTTAGAGACAAGGTTTTGCTCTGTCACCCAGACTGGTGACAGCAGTGGTGCTATCACGGCTCATTGCAGCCTTAAACTCCTGCAGCCTCGACCTCCAGGGCTCAGGTGATCCTCCCATCTCAGCCTCCTGAGTAGCTGGGACTACAGGCACACGCCACCATGCCCAGCTGATTTAAAATTTTTGTTTTGTAGAGATGAGATCTAACCATGTTGCCCAGGCTGGTCTCAAACTCCTGGGCTCAAGTGATCCTCCCACCTCTGCCTCCCAAAGTGCTGAGATTACAGGTGTGAACCACTGTGTCCAGCTTATTAAATTTTTTAACTGTGTTATTTGTTTTTATTCTTAAGCAGAGCCCACCTTTACTGATACGGGAATGGTGGCTCACGTAAACAACAGCCGGCTCAAGGCCAAGGGTGTCGGCCAGCACCACAATGCCCGTAACTTTGGTAACCAGAGCTTTGAGGAGCTGCGGGCAGCCTGTCTAAGAAAGGGGGAGCTGTTTGAGGACCCCTTATTCCCTGCTGAACCCAGCTCACTGGGCTTCAAGGAACTGGGTCCCAACTCCAAACATGTGCAGAACATCTGCTGGCAGCGGCCCAAGGTGAGCATTGGAAGGGAGGCATGGATCCTTGGATGGAGGGGAGCTTGTAGTGATCCCTCTATTGCTTTTATAATCTTCAACCCCCACCACCCTCTTCTGACCCTGGGACTAGGCCCCACCTTCATCAGAGCTGGGGACAGTTCTGAATATGCTTAAGTCAAACCTCCCAGGTAACCCTAAGGAAATCACCCACCAACCCCTGCTATCATGCCGAGGTGGTCCTGTACCCTCTCCCCTCCCCCCATCTGTTCCTCTGGAACTTCAAGGTGGACATCATTCCCCAGCAAAGGTGGCAGAAAGGTGGGGAGGGGTGTCCTGGGTCCCCTGAAGCCTTTATTCCTTCACTGCAGGACATTGTAAGCAACCCTGCATTCATCATGGATGGGATTTCTCCCACAGACATCTGCCAGGGGGTCCTCGGTGAGTGGGGCACGGGAAGCTGGTCTCCACTTGGAGAAGGGGGGTTTGGGGAGGGGTGCCACGGTGTCCTTTGAAGCTGGAAAACAGGGAGCCCTGAGTTTCAGACAGCCTGCTTCTGTTTCCCTGTCCCTCCCCTTCTGAGGAGATGACAGTGAGAACACCACGCATTCTCCCTGCCCCTCCTGAGTCTGGATGTTACTCCCTGCCTGCTGCCATCTGGGTCTTGGGGGCGGTTATTAGTTATCTATGGCTACATAATAAATTACCCAGGACTTAGCAACTTAAAAAAAATTTCTTTTTCTTATCTCACAGTTTCTGTGGGGCAGAAATTCAGAAGCAGAATCACTGGATGGGTCTGGTTCAGGGTTTCTCAGGAGGTGGTAGTCAACATGTCTGCAACATGTGATCATCTGGAGGCTTGCCTGGGGCTGGAGGGTCTGCCCCTAGGAGGGTGCGCTCACATGGCAGGAGCTCTCAGCTCTTTGCTGGCTGTGGGCAGGAGGTTCCAGTTCCTCGCCATATAGGCTTCTCCATAGGGCTGCTTGAGTGTCCACACAACATGGTAGCTTGCTCTTCCAAAGCGAGTTATCTAAAAGAGAGGACAAGGAGGAAGCCATAATGCCTTTTCTGACCTAGTCTCAGAAGTCACACATCATAATTTCCACCATATTCTATTTGTTAGAAGCAAGTACTGAATCTGGTCCAGACTCAAGAGGAAAGGAATTAGGCTCTATCTTTGGAAGGGAGGATGGTCGAAGAATTTGCAGAAACCACTACAGGTGTCAGAACCTGCTAAATCTGGGGTATCGAATAGGATGGCAACAGGGTCCAATCAGCCCACTCTTACACAGGCTCCCATAGAAAGCCCCAGGGTAGATCTTCCTCCCTAAGACTGGTCCTGTTCCACGGTTTCCTCCAGATCCCTCATTGCCTCTTTAGGGATAAAGCCAGGGTGGGCTTACTCTAAGACTGAATTCTGTCCCCTTGGGGCAGAAGAAGGGCAAGATGTGGGCAGAGCAGAAGCCAAGGAGACCTTAAACCCCAAGGCCGCTGCTGTGGCTGCTGTGGCTCAGTAGGCTGGAGGGACAATGGGCTGGAGGAGGAGGGAATTAGCTTCTCCCAGGCACCCTAACAGGGATGGGGATTGGAGCGTCCTTGATACTCTTCTTTCCAGGCAGCCAGGAGGCCACTAGTAATTATATAAACTTTCTGGTCCCTCAACCTCAGCCTGGCCCAGGATGCCCATCACCCTCCCCTGGGGCCAACCCAGCAAGGGCTGAGATGCCCAGGAGACAGGTGGCAATGGAGGACGGTAGCACTCGTCTCCCATAGGATTCCCTTCAGCTGAACTTCAGCCCAGGGACACTGCCCCATACCCCCATTGATGCCTAGTTCCAGGGATCCTGCTGGGGTACACATTCAGCCCTGGGTACCCAATGTAATGTGGGTGACATGAGGGAGAGATTTCTTGGGACCTTCATGGTCACACCAATGTACTCACAGGGTGCAGGAAGGTGACTGGATCTGTTGGAAGAATGTGGAGAGTATTGGCTGTCTCTCAAAGAAAGCAGGTTACTGGTCAGGTGCAGTGGTTCATATCTGTAATCCCAGCACCTTGGGAAGCCAAGGCAGGAGGATTGCTTGGGTCCAGGAGTTCAAGGTCAGGTTGGGCAGCATAGTGAGATTCCGTCTCTACTTATATGTAAAAATTCACATTAAAATAATACTAGGAAGGTCAGGCACGGTGGCTCATGCCTGTAATAGCAGCACTTTGGGAGATCGAGGAGGCAGACCACAAGGTCAGAAGTTCGAGACCAGCCTGGTCAATATAGCAAAACCCTGTCTCTACTAAAAATACAAAAATTAGCCAGGTGTAGTGACAGGCACCTGTAGTCCCAGCTGTTTGGAAGGCTGAGGCAGAAGAATCACTTGAACCCAGGAGGCAGAGGTTGCAGTGAGCCAAGATTGTGCCACTGCACTCCAGCCTGGGCAACAGAGCAAGACTGCATCTCAGAAAACAAGACAAAGCAAAACAAAACAAAAACTAGGAAAATAGGTTCATAGAGCCTGAGGCCAAAAGTACCTCTTTCTCAAACTCAAGAAAACAAAAGCACGTGGCTCTCATGTAATGGAAAAGGTACAGCCAGGCGTAGTGGCTCACGCCTGTAATCCCAACACTTTGGGAGGCTGAGGCGGGCAGATCTCTTGAGGCCAAGAGTTCAAGACCAGCCTGGCCAGCATGGTGAAACTCCATCTCTACTAAATATACAAAAATCAGCCAGGTGTGGTAGTGGGCACCTGTGGTCCTAGCTACTCAGGAGGCTGAGACAGGAGAGTCACTCAAACCTGGGAGGCTGAAGTTGCAGTGAGCTGAAATCATGCCACCACACTCCAGCCTGGGCGACACAGCAAGGCCCTGTCTCAAGAAAGCATACAGAAACTCACCTTACCAGAGTGTCTCTGCCTTCAGTTTCTCCCTGTTTCCCTTCTTCCTGAACACTCTTTAGTGGGATGGTGGAGGGAGGGTGCGTCTCTGCCACAGGGTGAGAATGGGGTACAGGGTCAAGTTTCTGCTCCCCTAGGCCTTGGATTCTGAGCCCCACACAGACATATGGGGGTGCTCAGGGGTGGCAAAGCCCTCCCTGTCTTTCCAGGGGACTGCTGGCTGCTGGCTGCCATCGGCTCCCTTACCACCTGCCCCAAACTGCTGTACCGCGTGGTGCCCCGGGGGCAGGGCTTCAAGAAAAACTATGCTGGCATATTCCGTTTTCAGGTGAAGGACAGTGTGAGAGCCAGTGTGGCTTTGTGGGACTTGTTGGGGGGCGGGGTGGGAGAATCATATATGCTTTGAGGTTTACCTTCTTTCCTTTTGGAAAATAGTATTTATTAGGGTAATAAATTTATTTGGCTAATTATCAGAGAAATATCTGCCCACCAAAGAAACCATGTAAGCTAATTTTTTAAGTCCCAAAAGAAAAGAATTGCTAGCAATTTGTGGCTCTCTTTCTCCCTTCTCCTTCTTTTCCTCTCCCTTGTGTGTGTGGGTATGTGTGACTTTGGTAGTCTTTGTCACATAATTTTTGTAATCTGCCCCTTTAACTTAGCAACATATGGACAAATTCCCCACGGGAGGTCTTGGCAGAAGCACGAGAGGAGGCGGGGAAGGGGAGTGGGGGCCGGGCTCAGGCTTTGGGTTACCTTTCTCGCACTAGTCAGTGATTCTGGAGAGTGGAGCCTCTGACACTGGCGTGTCATCAGGCCTGGCCACTAGGAGGCGCTTAATGACAGGGTTCCCACCCAAGGGGTGTGTGTTGCTACCCACAGATTTGGCAGTTTGGGCAGTGGGTGAATGTGGTGGTGGATGACCGGCTGCCCACAAAGAATGACAAGCTGGTGTTCGTGCACTCGAACGCACGCAATGAGTTCTGGAGTGCCCTGCTGGAGAAGGCGTATGCCAAGTGAGTGCTGGGAGCCGAAGAAGGGGCCTTGCCTTGCCTCTGTGGGGTCAACTGGAATCATGGGGAGTGGGGGGGGGTGGCAGGACATCCCTTCCTCCCCTCACCTCCACCCTAGAGCTCAACAGTGCCCTTTCTGTGCCCACAGGCTGAGTGGGTCCTATGAAGCGTTGTCAGGGGGCAGTATCATGGAAGGCCTTGAGGACTTCACAGGAGGTGTGGCCCAGAGCTTCCAACTCCGGAGTCCCCCTCAGAACCTGCTCAGGCTCCTTAGGAAGGCTGTGGAGCGATCCTCCCTCATGGGCTGCTGCATTGAAGTAAGCAAAGCATGATCCCACCTCAGGGCCTTTGCACCTGCTGTTGCTATCACCTAAAAGGCTCTTCCCCCCGTATCTTCGTGGCCAGCACTTCTCATTCATTTCAACTGCCCTTTCCCCAGACTAGCCTTCCCTGCCTCCCCACCTTGTTTACTTTCTACCTGGTTTTTATCTTCTCCCCAACATTTATTGTGACTTGAAATTCTCTTGTTGCTCTATGTTTTCACTCATAGCCCATCTTCTCCAGATAGTACTCACGTCCCATGAGGACAGTGACCTTAATTGTCTCATTCACTGCTGGACCCAGGAACTTAGGAAGGAGCCCAGCATGCAATAGGCACCCAACCAACATTTGTTGGAAGAAATACATGAACCCAGGGTGCTACATACAACCCTGCATTCTTGCCACTTATCCCAGAGAAATGAAGACATGTCTCCAAAAATGTTTGTACACCAATGTTTACAGCAACTTTGTTCATAATAGCCTGCAAACAGGAAACAGCCTAGATGTCCTTCAATAAGTAAATGATTCAACAAACTGTGTTGATTACACACCGTGATATACTACTGAGCAATAAAAAAGAACAAACTATTGATAATTGGAGAAACTAGGACAGATCTCAGAGGAATTATGCTGAATGAAAAAAGCCAACCCCAGCCAGGTCCAGTGGCTCATGCCTGTAATCCCAAGTCAGGAGGATTGCTCTAGCCCAGGAGTTTGAGATCAGCTTAGGCAATATGGTGAGACTTTATCTCTACAAAAAAAAAATAATAATAATTAGCTGAGAAAAAGGGAAAAAAAGACAACCCCCAAAGGAGGTTACACACTGCATGATTCCATTGAAATGACAATTTTTTTTTTGAGACAGTCTCACTCTGTCGCCCAGGCTGCAACCTCCGCTTCCCGGGTTCAAGTGATTCTCCTGCCTCAGCCTTCCGAGTAGCTGAGATTACAGGCACCCGCCACCATGCCTGGCTAATTTTTGTATTTTTAGTAGAGACAGGGTTTCACCATGTTGGCCAGGCTGGTCTCTAACTCCTGACCTCAGGTGATCCGCCTGCCTCGGCCTCCCGAAGTGCTGGGATTACAGGCATGAGCCACTGTGCCTGGCCTTGAATGACATTCTTGAAATTACAAAATAATATAAATTAAGAAGAGATGAGTGGTTTCCAGGGTTTATGGAAGGGGAGTCGTGAGAAGAGATGGGTTTGGTTATAAAAGGGTGACACAAGGGATACTTGTGGTGATGGAAATGTTCTATATCTTGACTGTGGCGGTGGTACACGAAACTACATGTAATGGAATTGCATAGAACACACAGAAGTGAGCACTAGTAAAACTGGGGAAGTCTGTATAAGGTTCACAGATTGCATCCATATCAACGTTCTGGGCAGGACACCATGGCTCATACCTGTAATCCCAGCACTTTGGGAGGCTGAATTGGGCAGATTGCTTGAGCCCAGGAGTTTCAGACAAGCCTGGGCAACATGACAAGACCCCATCTTTACTAAAAATACCAAAATTAGCAGGGCATGGTGGCGAGAGCCTGTAGTCCCAGCTACTCAGGAGGCCCAGGTGGGAAGTTCGCTTGAGCCTAGGAGGTCTAGGCTGCAGTCAACTGAGATCACAGCACTGCACTCCAGCCTGGGTGACACAGTGAGACCCTGTCTTAAAAATAATAATAAAGCTGGGTGCAGTAGCTCAGGCTTGTAATCCCAGCACTTTGGGCGGCCGAGGCAGGAGGATCACCTGAGGTCAGGAGTTTGAGATCAGCCTGGCCAACATGGTGAAACCCCATCTCTACTAAAAATACAAAAAATTAGCCAGGCATGGTGGCAGGTGCCTGTAATCCCAGCTATTTGGGAGGCTGAGGCAGGAGAATCACTTGAACCCCAGAGGCAGAGGTTGCAGTGAGCCAAGATTGTGCCACTGCACTCCAGCCTGGGCAACAAGAACGACGTTCCGTCTCAAATAATAATAATTGTAAAAATGTTCTTTTTTTGATATTTCACTGTAGTTTTGCCAGATGTTACCAACCGGGGGAAACTGAGTATGGGATACTTGGGATTTCTCTGTATTATTTCTTAATACATGTGAATCTACAGTTATTTCAAAATAATGGTAATAATTTAAAAGTTTAGTTTTGTTTTTGGACACCAAGCTAGAGATGGCAGCTGCTGCAGATGAAAGGCAGGAAAGGGCAGGCCGTGTGAGCAGACAGATGAGCTGACTAGATAGCGAACCAGTAACAACACACTAAGCTCGCATACTACCGCTTATGCATCTGACCAACTGCCCATCTAGCTAACCTGAGCCCCTCCACCGTCAACTCAGGTTTGACGGGTCCAGGTCCGCCTGCCGGACCTGTGGTGGCAGCCCCAGCAGGAACACTGGCATCTGTTTCCTTCGATTCTCGGGATTTGAAGATGGCTGGACAGTCAGCACCGAAGTTGTGGTGAAAAGCACCACCAAGCTGTCTCTAAATGAGCGCTTTGCTAATATGCTGAGGAACAAACAGCTGACGCCAGTGACTGTTCGGGCTTTCATGCAGCAACACAGCAGCTAGCCAGTGCCAGAAACAGAAGACTGGCCCAGCAGAGGGAGACTAGACCCTCTGTCTAGTCAGCATTCAAACTTAAGCAGGCCAGGCGCCGTGGATCACGTCTATAATCCCAGCACTTTGGGAGGCCACGGTGAGCAGATCACCTGAGGTCAGGAGTTCAAGACCAGCCTGACCAACATGGAGAAACCCCATCTCTACTAAAAATACAAAATTAGCCGGGCATAGTGGCACATGCCTATAAGATCCCAGCTACTCAAGAGGTTGAGGCAGGAGAATTGCTTGAACTCAGGAGGCTGAGGTTGCAGTGAGCCAAGAACGTGCCATGGCACACCAACCTGGGTGACAAAAGCGAAACTCGATCTCAAAAAAAAAAAAGACTTAAGCAGAAGAGCTTAAAGCAGCACCTGGGTAAGAGTAACATCCAGACATGGTTAGGCACAGGGGCCCTGGCCAGGGGAGCAGAGGGAGGACGAGGCCTACCCATAATCCAGAGAAGCTTGCCCAGAGGAGGACTACGTGGGGGACAAGCCACCAGAACCCTGCTTAGGGGCGGGATGTCACTCAGAGGTCAAAAGCTGCTCCAAGGTGGATGAGCCATAGCTCCCCAAATGGGCTTAAGAAAAGGTGGTGGTCAAGGTTGTGGAGGTCCTGGGAGAGGGAGCCTAGGGTGTGGAGCTATAGGTCATGGCAGAATCGGTGGTAGAGGTCCAGGTATGATAGGTTGGGAAAGAGGGGGCTTTGGAGGCCAAGGCCAAGGCCATAGATGAGGAAGAGGTGCCCTTACTCACCCTGTATTGACCAAGGAGCAGCTGGACAACCAATTGGATGCATACGTGTTGAAAACAAAAGGACACCTGGATGCTGAGTTGGATGCCCACATGGCGCAGACAGATTCCGAAGCCAATGAGTGAAGCCTGCCCATTGCTCACCCTCCTGTGAGAGACTCTTAGTCAACACATCTGTAAATAACCTTGAGATAACAGACAAGAAGAAATCTGATTGATGCTGGATGGACCCATCATGATAGGCTGTGGACTTACTTGCCACCGGCTTGTGCATTTAGCATGTTCCTTTTCCTTTTTGATACTGTGTTGTATGAAACCCTTGTCCTTTGATTTAGTTTTAGTTTTTGGGTTTTTTTGGGGGGGGTTTCCTTCTCCTTTGCCCAGACTTCCCTTTGAACACAAATACGTTAGCCTTGTGGCTAGAACTCCGTTTTCCTACCTCTGCCTTCCCTCGCTCGTCACAGGCTCTGACATGCTAACATTTCTTTTGTTTATCTCTGTTGCTCTCACAAAAAGGTCCCAGAAAAAAAAACGGTCAGTGTTACTCCCTGATGCTTAGGTTTCTGACATAACGTTCTGTTACATCCTCTTCAGCAGCCTCTTTAAAATGTTTAGAAGGTCTGGAGCTCAAAAATGCATTCTCCCACATTGGTAATTTAGTAAACTGAGAACGTTGCATCATTATGGGGCAGCAGCAGAGGTTGACTGAAGTTGCTACCATGCACGTTGACACCACATGTGTCATAACCGGCGTGCTGGGTTGAATTGAACTTTCTACCCTTGTATAAGGTTCACAAACTTTCCTCTTGGCTTTGTATCATGTCCAGAAGGGCACTATAGGGTTGGTTTATACCTACAATATAGAGGAAGAAGCCATTTGATTTGGCAGGTGTGTGGGAAGGGAGAATGATGGCAGGTAAAGGGCTGGAAGAGGTCAGAAGATACCTGTGCCAAAATGCAGTTATCCTCATGTTTATCCCAAACCAGTCTTGGACTTTTCCACTCATGAACTTCGTTTCTCCCTTACTTGCCTTGAAAGTGTAATTAAGTTCAAGCATATTCAACTGTTCCAGTTTCGTTGGACTCTTACATTTCTTATAAATCTTATATTTAAAATCTCATATTTTTAAAAAAGTTTAGTTTTAAAAAATGAACCTAGAGAGCTCTCACCTTCCTTTGGGTGCCCCGTCCCTCTGACCAGGTCCTCCGTGCCCTCCCTCCCTCTCTGTTCTGTAGGTCACCAGCGATAGTGAACTAGAGTCCATGACCGACAAGCTGCTGGTGAGAGGGCACGCTTACTCAGTGACCGGCCTTTGGGATGTGAGTCCTGAGAACTGCGCCTACCCTGAGGGCCCTAAGAAGGAGGAGAACATCCCCCTGGCCCCATAACTCTGACCTTCAACCCCCCACCCCGACACCCAGGTCCACTACAGAGGCAAAATGGAAACACTGATTCGGGTCCGGAATCCCTGGGGCCGGATAGAGTGGAATGGAGCTTGGAGTGACAAGTAGGTGCCCCCAACCCAGGTGAGGAGTGGTCGGAAGATGCAGCAGGCAGTGCCAGGTGGACCCACTGGTGTCCCATTGGGAGGACAACCTGTGTCCCAGGGCAAAGCCCCTCCCTCTAGATTCTCCATCTAGCTCCGCAACCCAGGGGGCAGACATTCAGGGAAGAGGGTGCCTTGGAGAGGAAGGAGGTGCCACGTGGCCTCTTCCCCTCTCCTTTCACCACCATCTCTGCTCCAGTGCCAAAGAGTGGGAAGATGTGGCACCAGACATCAAGACGCAGCTGCTGCGTAGGATGGAGGACGGGGAGTTCTGGTCAGTGTGGCTTGGGGTGGGCTTTCTACCACCGCCCCAGGCCCTGGTCCTTCATCTCCCTGTTCCACTCCTCTCTGTCCCTTGGATGGGGAGGCTCCCGGTGGGAGGTGGGGACGGTTCAGGGAGAGGGACCTGAGAATGCAAGTGTGCTTTTGATGGGCTCCACCCCAACCCCACCGCAGGATGCCCTACCAAGATTTCCTGAATAACTTCACACTCCTGGAGATCTGCAACCTCACGCCTGATGCACTCTCTGGGGACAACAAGAGCTACTGGCACACAACCTTCTATGAGGGCAGCTGGCGCAGGGGCAGCACCGCAGGGGGTTGCAGGAACCACCCCAGTGGGTGCCAGGGTTCAGGGGGAGGGGCATGTGCAGGGAGTGAAGGATGGGCCACCGCTCACCGTGAAACCAGACCTGGGGCATAAGTAACCCAAGTCAGGTCCATGGTCAGATTTCACAGCCCCTGTGGAGGGGACAGATCCTATGTGGCTGGAGAAGCTCGGTCCACGCTGGGAAGGGCGTGGCCAAGGAAAGCCCCCATATAACCATGCTGACCTGCTTCTGCCACAGACACATTCTGGACCAACCCCCAGTTTAAGATTTCTCTCCCTGAGGGGGACGACCCAGAAGATGACGCAGACGATGACGCAGTGGTCTGCACCTGCCTGGTGGCCCTGATGCAGAAGAACTGGCGGCATGCCCGGTGGCAGGGACTCCAGCTGCAGACTATAGGATTTGTCCTCTACTCGGTGGGTGCCTGGTTGGTCCCTGCGGGCCACTCACACTCCCTCATCTGGCCTCACTCCTTTTTTTTTTTTTGAGACAGAGTCTCGCTCTATTGCCCAAGCTGGAGTGTGGTGGCACAATCCCCATTCACTGCAACCTCCGCCTCCCCAGTTCAATCGATTCTTGTGCCTCAGCTTTTTCAGTAGCTGGGGGCGCACACGGCCATGCCCTGCTAATTTTTTAATTTTTAGTAGAGACGGGATTTCACCATGTTGTCTAGGCTGGTCTCGAACTCATGACTTCAGGTAATCTGCCTGTCTCCGCCTCCCAAAGTGCTGTCATTACAGGCATGAGCCACCACATCTGGTCTCCTGGCCTCACTCCTTTCTCCCCAAGGCCACTTCCTGCCTGGGAGAGGGACAGGCTCCAACAGGCTTCACAGCCCTGATTTTTTTTTTTTTTTAAGACAGGGTCTCACTCTGTTGCCCAGGTTGGAGTGCAGTGGTGCGATCACAGCTCACTGCAGCCCTGATCTCCCAGGCTCAAGCAATCCTCTCACCTCAGCTTCCCGAGTAGCTAGGATTACAGGCAATTGCCCTGCTAGTTTTTTTTTTTTTTTAGTAGAGACAGGGTCTCACTGTGTTGCCCAGACTGATCCCTGACTCTTGAATGGTGCTTTGTGCTTTTCAAGGCAGAGCCGGCAGTTTTCTCTTCACAGGTTTTATCTTTTGTGCCAGGCATCGTTCCAAAGGCCTTAGGAATACTAACTGCTAACGCCATTAAGGAAGCGGAAAGAGCCTACGTACCAGAGACGTGAAGTCACTTGCCCAAGCTCACACATCCAAGGGTCAAGGCTAAGCCTGTGTCCTGATTCCCAGCACTCTGAGAGTTCTCCACACTCCCGCCCCCACAATCATCCATCCCCCTTGCCTGCCCCACCAGCAGCACTCACTCCAGGAGCCAAGAGAAAGCCCTGATAAACATTTCCCAAGCAAACCATGCTTTGCAAAATTCTCCAAATGGCCAGTTGTTCACTCACTTGCATTCCCTTATATAAACAAGAATGTATGGAGCATCTGCTGTATGCCAGACCCGTGTCCAGTCTCCAGAAGTTCAATAGTGAGCAAAACAGACACAACCCTTGCCCTTCTCCTGGGGCCATTAGTCCACCAGGCTAATAGACTGGTGCCTCCGGATAATATTTTTGCTGGGGAGGTGGCTCTTGCCTGTTATCTCAGCTCTTTTGGGAGGTTGAGGTGGGAGGATCACTTGGAGGATGCACAAGGAATTTAACACCAGCCTGGGCAACACAGCAAAACACTGTCTCAACAACAACAAAAAAGTTAGCTGGGCATAGTGGCACACACCTGTGGTCCCAGCTACTCAGAACGCTGAGGTGAGAGGATCACTTGAGCCCAGGAAGTTGAAGCTGCAGTAAGCCATGATCGCACCACTGTACTTCAACCTGGACACAGAGTGAGACCCTGTCCAAAAAAAAAAAAAAAAAAAAAGGTTAAATAAGTTCAGGAAAGGCTTGAATCCACCTGAGCTCTCCAGTGCACACAGCACATGGAAGGTGCTGATAAGCTACCTCTGCAATAGGTAAAACCTGTTTAACTTGGTTTAACTCGCATTTTTACAAACCTACTAGTCCTCGATCCTCAATTTTAGTCACCTTCTATTCACTTCTTGCAGGATATGATTGTTCCATGGAAAAGCAAAACATTCTCCTAGATTTTTAGCCCAGTTCTTTCGCTTTTCGGCCTTCTGAGGTTGGATAAATCACCTCACATCTTTGGGATTCTGTTTCCATTGCTTAACCTAGAATGCTAAAAATCTACCTTGTATAAACTGTACTTTGCTATCCAAAGCTGAGGGCTTTTAATTTTTTAATTTCTTTTTTTGAGATGGAGTCTTGCTCTGTCGCCCAGGCTGGAGTGCAGTGATTCAATTCTGGTTCACTGCAACCTTCGCCCCCTGGGTTCAAGCAATTCTCTGCCTCAGCCTCCTGAGTAGCTGGGATTATAGGCACCCACCACCAGGCCTGGCTAATTTTGGGGTTTTGTTTTGTTTTGAGACAGAGTTTCACTCTTGTTGCCCAGGCTGAAGTACAATGGCACCATCTTGGTTCACCGCAACCTCTGCCTCCTGGGTTCAAGCAATTCTCCTGCCTCAGCCTCCCGAGTAGCTGGGATTACAGGCATGTACCACCACGCCCCGCTAATTTTGTATTTTTAGTAGAGATGGGGTTTCTCCATGTTGGTCAGGTTGGTCTTGAACTCCTGACCTCAGGTAATCCACCTGTCTTGGCCTCCCAAAGTGCTGGGATTACAGGCATGAGCCACTGCACCCAGTAATTTTTGTGTTTTTTAGCAGAGATGGGGTTTCACCATCTTGGCCAGGCTGCTCTTGAACTCCTGACCTCATGATCCACCTGACTCGGCCTCCAAAAGTGCTGGGATTACAAGTGAGCCACCACTCCTGGCCTTTTTTTTTTTTTTTTTTTTCTTTTTTCGAGACAGGGTTTCACTCTGTTGCACAGGCTGGAGGGCAGTGACATGATCACAAATCACTGCAGCCTTGACCTCCAGCTCAAGCAATCCTCCCACCTCCACGGCAGAGGGATTGTTAATGCCAGGACTTTTGAACTGTCAGGGCCCATGCCCCACCCCACCACCAGTGTCCTAGTGCTCTTAATACCCCTCCAGCAACACACACACACAGACACACGCTATACACATCCCACTTGGCTTCCAAAGGTCTGAGCCCCTACACCACTCTAGAGAACTGACTCTCCTCTTCCCTTCCCTTCCCAGGTCCCGAAGGAGGTACAGAAGATAAAGACATGGGGCTTGTTCCTGGACACCCCCCCACCCCCTGGCTGCAAATGGACTGGCAAGGGGTGGAATTTGGGGAAAGGCTTTGGGGGTCACTGGGTTAGGATTCCAGCCCCCTTGGGGCCTGTTAGGGCTGGGGAAAGGAATTACCCTGTTGGAGTTACAGGCCACTTGGGTGGTGCCCAGGCTAGGTCAGTTGGTGGTAGCACCTGCCCCCAACCCTGCCTGGCCAGGCTGTTCACCTTGGGGGACCCTCCCTCCCTAACCTCCCATGCCAGTCCTGTGCCTACCTCCAGGATATGTATAGTTTCAGAACATCCAGGATGTCCCCTTGAAGAATGATTTCTTCACCAAGTATCAGGACCATGGCTTCTCAGAGATCTTTGCCAACTCACGGGAGGTGAGCAGCCAACTCCGGCTGCCTCCGGGGGAATATCTCATTATTCCCTCCACCTTCGAGCCACACAAAGATGCCGACTTCCTGCTTCGGGTCTTCACCGAGAAGCACAGCGAGTCTTGGTGAGGGGCTGCAGCTCACTGCTCCAAGGCCTGCCACTCAAGAGCTACAGGATTTCAAGCTCAGGGAGCTGCTGTCATGCTGTCAGGCCCTCTCTCACTTTGTCCCTATTTTTTTTTTTTTGAGACAGAGTCTTACTCCGTTACCAGGCACCAGGCTGGAGTGCAGTGGTGCAACCTCGGCTCACCACAACCTCCGCCTCCCCAGTTCTAGGGATTCTCCTGCCTCAGCCTCCTGAGTAGCTGGGATTACAGGCGCGCAGCACCACACCCAGCTAATCTTTGTATTTTTAGTAGAGATGGGGTTTCACCATGTTGGTCAGGCTGGTCTCAAACTCCTGACCTCATGATCCGCCCATTTCAGCCTCCCAAGGTGCTGGGATTACAGGTGTGAGCCTCCGCCCAGCCACTTTCTCCCTATTTTACAGTCAGGGAAACTGAGGCATGAGAAGGTGAAGCCCCAATCAGTGGCAGAATCAGAACTAGAGCTAGAACCCAGATTCCTTGGAGCTGTCCTATATTGTTTCAAAGACATGACACGACCCCCAGAGCACCCTGCTGAAATTCCCATCTCCCTGCCCCTGGGTAACTCCTGAGCTTTAAATCACTTTTGCCCAGGGAACTGGATGAAGTCAACTATGCTGAGCAACTTCAAGAGGTGAGGTGGGGCTGTAGGGCTGGGGAATGGAAGGAAGCTCCTGGGGCTGTGAAGGAAGTTTTCTGACCAGGTTCCTCTCCTGCTCCCTTGCCCCTAGGAAAAGGTCTCTGAGGATGAGCTGGACCAGGACTTCCTACATTTGTTTAAAATAGTGGCAGGAGAAGTGAGCAGGCCAAGGGCGGAGGGCTGATGGGAGGGGGATGGGGGGGCGGCCCGAGTGGGGTTCACAGTCCCCGTTCCTAGGGCAAGGAGATAGGCGTGTATGAGCTACAGAGGCTGCTCAACAGGATGGCCCTCAAATGTGAGTCTTCCACCCCACCACACACAACCCCTTCCCCATATTTTGTGCCTGTCTTGATCACTCCGGGTGCCCCCCATGATACCAAATTCACCCTGCCTCTCCTTTCTACACCTTCCCTTCCTCACAGTCAAAAGCTTCAAGACCAAGGGCTTTGGCCTGGACACTTGCCGCTGCATGATCAACCTCATAGATGTATCCTCCTGTCCAGGGCTCTCTTGCCCCTGTCCCCTGCCCCCAAGCCTGGTCCAGAGATGGCCACCCTGGCTCTGGGATTAGGCTCTGGGGTAGCAGAAGATGCCAGTTCTTCTGGCTGCTTCAGTAGCAGGACTCCAGGGCTTGTGTGCCCCCTCGGGAAGCCCCGCTGCTTCCCTGTCCCCTGGGAGGCCCTCTTCACTCCCTTCTCTGCTGTCCTTGACCACCTTCCAGAAAGATGGCTCTGGCAAGCTGGGGCTTCTAGAGTTCCAGATCCTGTGGAAAAAACTCAAGAAATGGATGGTAAAGGGCACGAAAGGGGCAGCCTCAGGGATGAGGAAAAGGGTCTCAGGAGAGATGGAAATAGTGAGGGGAAGCTAGAACCAGAGCCCTAACTACCCCCCCACATACACACACACAACCACACCACACACACATGCTTACACACGTACAACCACACCATACACATATACACATGCTCATACACACACACAACCACACACCACACACACGCTCACACATACACAACCACATCACACACATATGCTTACACACGTACAACCACACCACACACATATACACATGCTCATACATACAACCACACCACATCCAATGCTCACACTCACGCATAATCACATCACACACATATATACACGGTCACACACACAATCACACCACACATTCACATGCTCACACACAACCACACCACACACACATGCTTACACACACACAACCACACCACATACACACATGCTTACACACATACAACCACACCACACACATATACACATGCTCAACACACACAACTGCACCACACACACATGCTTACACACACACACAACCACACCACACACACATGCTCACACACACATGCAACCACACCACACACATGCTCACACACACAACCGCACCACACACACACATGCTCACACATACACTACCACACCACACAGGCATATGCTCACACACAACCACACCACACATACACCTGTTCACACACACACCTGTTCACACACACACCTGTTCACACACACACAAACCACACCACACACAAACATGAAAAGAGTCTGTTGGAGTCTGGCATATTACCCAGTCAAAATATTTCATAACAAGTGTAGCTCAGGTATCAACTAGTCATGAAGGATGCATGCAGAGAGCGCTGGGTAGGGTACCAGTGTTCCCCCCAACCCATGCTTAGAATTAACCCTTAGGTCACAAGATGATAGGAATATCAAGAGTGGGCCAGGGTTGGAGGGGAGTATGGGGTCTTAGGCCAATACTGTGAGCCAATGAGCCAACTGTACTAAAGTATTTCTTTTTCTTTTCTTTTGTTTTTTGAGACGGAGCCTCACTCTGTTGCCCAGACTGGAGTGCAGTGGCGTAATCTCTGCTCACTGTAACCTCCGCCTACTGGGTTCAAGCCATCCTCCTGCCTCAGCCTTCGTGTGCCTGTAGCTGGGATTACAGGCATGCACCACGATGCTCGGCTAATTTTGTATTTTTAGTAGAGATGGGGTTTCACCATGTTGGCCAGGCTGGTCTCAACTCCTGACCTCAGGTGATCCGCCCACCTCAGCCTCTCAAAGTGCTGGGATTACAGGTGTGAGCCACCGCGCCCGGCCTAAGTATTTTATTATGTCAACCACCATGCCATACACATGGCCCTACCACATCTATCTATTCAGGACATCTTCAGAGACTGTGACCAGGACCATTCAGGCACCTTGAACTCCTATGAGATGCGCTTGGCTATTGAGAAAGCAGGTGGCCAGGGGTCGGAGCGGGCCTTGGGGCAGGGAACAGGATGGCAGTGTCCAGAGGCCTGGACTTTCCCCTCCCCACTTCTCTCTCTCTCAGGCATCAAGGTGAACAACAAGGTAATGCAAGTTCTGGTGGCCAGGTACGCAAATGATGATCTGATCATAGACTTTGACAACTTCATCAGCTGTTTCCTGAGGCTGAAGGCCATGTTCAGTGAGTTAGGCATCTACCCACTCCCTAGGCTAGACCAGGGGCCACAGGCCCTCTCCCAAACACATGCTGCTCCAGAGCCCCTCCCCCTTACAGGGCATACATGAAAGGGGTTCAAAGCCCAGCTCCACCCCTTGCTGGCAGCTGTGACTTGAGCAAGTCACTTAATCTTTCTATGCCTCCATTCCCTTCTCTTTATAGTATGGATAATAATAGTATTGCCCTCATAGGACTGAGGTGCAAGTTAAACCAGTCAGTCTATGGAAGGCACTCAGAACTGGGCCTGGCTCCTGGTGAGGCTATGTGAGTGGCTAGCAAATCCCCACTGGGCTAGGGGATTTACGTGGGGAACAGCCAGGAACAGCTGGTGTTGCCCCTTCTAACATCCCACCTAGCTGGGAATGGTTCTTTCAAAACACTGACAGCACTCAGCCCCTCTCCTCCGCTTCCTCTGTAACACAGCATTCTTTCTAACCATGGACCCCCAGAACACTGGCCATATTTGCCTGAACCTCGAACAGGTACTTGGAGAGGGTTGGGAAGTGATCTGCAGGATTGTGCCTGCTTCCCCCTCAACCCAGCCCTGCCTAGCTCTGCTGTCCCCCAGGCCAGCATCCTGCCTCCACCTCTTCCCACCCTGGAATCTGCTTCCTCTCTCCACAGTGGCTGCAGACCACTATGTGGGGATAGAGGCGCTGCGGGAGCCTGGCCATCTCTACCAGCAGCAGCGAGGTTCTAGCCCAGGAGGGTGGGGTGCTTCTTGTAGCCCTCAGCTCTCCGGTCTCTGCTGATGAAATGGTCTCCGAGTGGCAGCGCCCAGGTCCCAGGTGCCATATTTACTGCAGTGAGACCTCCGTGTTCATTCCCCCAGCTCAGAGCCTTTCTCTTTTTTCCCCAATTGGGCTTCTGGTGGCTCACTTTCCCCGACCATCTCTCTCTCTCTCAGTATATTTTACCAAAGATTAGCTGATGCTTCCCAAGGGTCCCCTTGGCTGGGGAGGTCAAGAATAGGGAAGGAGCTTGTAGCCCACTTCCTACCCTCCATGCTTGCTGTCCTACTCACACCTACCCACTGGCCATTCATCCCAGCATAGCCCCTCTCTTTTCCTCCCCGCCTGTGGAGACTATTCTAATAAACATCACATGCCATTGGCTTTAATGTCTCTGTGTTTTTATGCCAAGAAAAGACTGGTGGGGGTGGAAATCACTTCCCCAGGACCAAAGGATTGGGTAGCTCTCAGCCAAGGGTGGTAGGGAGCATTTCGAAATGTGCAGTTGTCACAATAACTAGAGGCCACATTCGGTGCTTACGGGCAGTGCCGGATGCTAGGCACACAGATCCCTCCCTGTGAAGAACTGTGAAGTGTGCCCTATAGTGGAGCGCCTCTAGGGGAGCTGAGCCAGGGCTGGCAGGAGTCTCATCTGCTGCCTCAAACTGGGGTTCCCAAAGGTGGCACTCCAGGGGTCCCAAAGGTTAAAAATCTGACACCTGCAGCAGCCAGCAGGTCATATAAATGAATGAACCTGCTGGGTGCAGTGGCTCACACCTTTAATCCCAGCACTCTTGGAGGGCAAGGTGGGTGGATCACCTAAGGTCAGGAGTTCGAGACCAGCTTGCCTAACATGGAAAACCCCACTCTACTAAAAATACAAAAATTAGCTGGGCGTGGTGGCACATGTCTATAATCCCAGCTACTTGGGAGGCTGAGGCAGAAGAATTGCTTGAACCCAGTGGGTGGAGGTTGCTGTGTGCTGAGATCGTACCACTTCACTCTAGCCTGGGTGACAGAGCGAGACTCCACCTCAAAAATTAATAAATTAATTAAATAAATAAATGAAAGAATCCTCCTGGTGTGGGACTAGGAGGGTTGACGACTGTGACAATAGGTGAATTCATTCCTGCCTTAAAGGTGTTCAGATTCAAATCATTATTATCGTTAGAAAATTGTTGCCTGTCAAGCTACTGCCCTTGCAGGAAGCATGAAAAAAACATTTCTTTCTGGGCCTACCTGTTTTTGACCTTGGGGTCTCTGCCCAGATGCCCACACCCCACCCCAGCCACAGCCTCCTGCAGTAGTGAGAAGACCCAGGCCGCTCACAGCAGCCCTGAAACTGCACTTCTCCTCCTGTCCTTTGAGAGCTCTCCATGGCCTCCCCTTCTGGTTTCTGGCAGGGACACTGGAGCCTAGGCACATGAGCTTCTCAGCCTCTCAAGTAAAGACAGCCCCCTATCTTCCCCTAGTTTAGAGATCTGTCATCCCCAGTGAAGCTAAACCCTTCCTGTCTCTGTGCAGCTTCCTGGGATGGCTAGCTTCCTTCCATGTGCACTAAATCCAGCCCTTGTATGCTTAGTGGGGCAGGTGGGATTCTGATCTTCCTTAATCTGGTGACTGATTCTCTGCACCAGCCCTGGCCCCTGCCTCCTTGGTGACTTCAAAGACTAAAGCTAGTCTGCCTGAATATAAAGCCACCTTCCCTCCATACCGCCACCCCCCACCGCCTTCAGAGAAATCATTTCCCATCCTGCCAGCCCTCCCTGCTTCCTCTGAGCAAAAGTCCCCAGGGGAGGGCAGGGAGAGGTCACTGACAGCCTCAAACTAACAGGTCCATGCTAGGCATGGTGGCACATGCCTGTAATTCCAACTACTTGGGAGGCTGAGGAGTTTCAGACCAGCCTGGGTAACACAGGGAGACTCCATCTTTAAAAAAAAGAAGAAGAAGAAAAACAAAAACCTGGCAGGTCCTTTGAGCCTCTGAGAGGTCCCAGGCAGTCCCAAATGGTTCTGGGAATTCCAAGAAGATGCTGACCCCACCCCTTGTTCCATGGCCTAGGGTGAGATGCTGCCAACTTCAAGTCAGGATAGAAAGGAAGCAGAAAATTCCCAAATCAGGACTGCCCCTTCTGGTTTGGAACAAAGCTGAAGTGACTCATAAACACACTGTAAACATAAAATGAGGAAACTGAAGCAAACTTTATGGGAGTAGAGAGTTTATGGGAGTAGAGAGTTATAAGGATTGCAACCCTGAAGAATAGATTCAAATTGTTCTGAATAGACACCCCAATTAGCAGCAGTTACAAGTGGATTTTTAGGCTGGGTACAATGGCTCACACTTGTAATCCCTGCACTTTGGGAGGCCGAGGCAGGTAGATCACTTGAGGCCAGGAGTTCAAGACCAGCCCGGCCACATGGTGAAACTCCATCTCTACTAAAAATACAAAAATTAGCCAGGCATGGTGGTGCACGCCTGTAATCCCAACTACTCGGAAGGCTGAGACAAGATAATCGCTTGAACCTGGGAGGCAGAGGTTGCAGTGAGCCAAGGTTGTGCCACTGCACTCCAGCGTGGGTGAGACAGTGAGACTGTTTCAAAAGGAAGAAAAGGAAAAGTTTGCCAGGCCTGGTGGTGCACACCTGTGGTCCCAGCTACTTGGGGAGCTGAAGTGGGAGAATCACTTGAATCCAGGAAGTCGAGGCTGCAGTGAACTGTGATCATACCACTGCGCTCCAGCCTGGGTGACAGAGTGAGGTCTTGTCTCAAAAAAAAAATATTTTTCGTTTTGTTTTGTTTTGGGGTGTTTGTGTGTGTGTGTGTGTGTCAGGCTCTCTATCACCCAGGCTGGAGTACAGTGGCACAATTTTGGCTCACTGCAACCTCTGCCTCCTAGGCTCAGGTGATTGATTCTCCTGACTCAGCCTCTTGGGTAGCCGGGACTACAGGCACACATCACCATGCCCGGCTATTTGTGTTTTTAGTAGACATGGGGTTTCACCATGTTGGCCAGGTTGGCCTCAAACTACTGACCTCAAGTGATCTGCCCCCACTTAGCTTCCCAAAGTGCTGAGATTAAAGGTGTGAGCCACTATGCCTGGCCAAAATGCATTTTTAAAGGTAAAAAAGACCGGACGCAGTGGCTCATGCCTGTAATCCCAGCGCTTTGGGAGGCTGGGGAGGGTGGATCACGAGGTCAGGAGTTCAAGGCCAGCCTGGCCAAGATTGTGAAACCCTGTCTCTACTAAAAATACAAAAATTAGCTGGGCATGGTGACAGGTGCCTGTAGTCCCAGCTACTCGGGAGGGTGAGGCAGGAGAATTGTTTGAACCCGGGAGGCGGAGGTTGCAGTGAGCCCAGATCGTGCCACTGTACTCCAGCCTGGGTGACAGAGCAAGGCTCTGTCTCAAAAAAGATAAAGAATAAATAAAGCTAAAAAATGAGGACAGTGAGTGGAATGATACAAAGTTGTTTGTCAGGAATTCTCATTGGTTTTCAAAAATAACATTGATTAGTGATTGGCTGTAGTGTCTGGTGTTGCATTATTAGGACAATTTATAGCTACTTGTAGCAATAGCAATCAGTTCCAAGGGATGAATACATAGCTTAAAGGGGAGAGCAGAGTGTAGGGTGCGATTGTGTCTCATGTTAATGTCTCTCTGGGCCTGATAATTGAAAGGTCTTACATTCCTCAGATAAAAGTTATTTTTATTTTATTTATTTTTACTTTTTATTTTTTTGAGACAGAGTCTCTCTCAGTTGCCCAGGCTGGCGTTCAGTGGCGCGATCTCAGCTCGCTGCAACCTCTGCCTCCCGGGTTCAAGTAATTCTCAGGCCTCAGCCTCCCAAGAGGCTGGATCACAGTCACCCACCACCACGTCAAATAAAAGTTATTTTCTTTCCCCAACACTTCGCGTAGTGGCTCAAGGTGAAGATTCGCAAGCTGGGTATCTTCAGGCAAATTACTTTACTTTCCTAACACAGTGTCCTTTTGAATCTATCATCAGAGGTGACAATTCCTGTCTCAGAGGGGTGTTGTATGGTCAACTGCGACAATGAAAGTGAAGCACTTAGGCACACCATTCTTTTTTTTAAAAAAAACTTTGGGGCCGGGCGCGGTGGCTCACGCCTGTAATTCCAGCACTTTGGGAGGCCGAGGTGGGTGGATTATGAGGTCAAGAGATGGATACCATCCTGGTCAACAAGGTGAAACCCCGTCTCTACTAAAAATACAAAAAATTAGCTGGGCATGGTGGTACGTGCCTGTAGTCCCAGCTACTTGGGAGGCTGAGGCAGGAGAATTGCTTGAACCCAGAAGGCGGAGGTTGTGGTGAGCCGAGATTGTGCCATTGCGCTGCAGTCTGGGTAACAACAGCAAAACTCTGTCTCAAAAAAAATAAAAAATAAAAACTTTGGATATTATCTATAATAGTAAAAAAAATTTTTTTTAAACAGATTTTCAATTGTGAACACATTATAGCCAGGCGTGGTGGGGCATGCCTATAGTTATAGTTACTCGGGAGCTGAGGCAGGGAAATCACTTGAGCCCAGGAATTCAAAGCTTCAGTGAGCTCTGATCAAACACTGCACTCCAGCCTGGGCAACAGAGGGAGACGCTGTCTTTAAAATAAATAAATAAATCCACATTAGAGATTATACGCATGATAAAATATCAAGCCATTGAACTAAATAACACAAACAGCATGAAGGTTATGACATAGAGTTGAATAAGCAAGAAGCATATTAGACTTAGAATAGTCCTTGACATTAGTGAGTGTTTACCACTTGCCTGCATTAAATACTATTAGCAATGGCTGTATACAATATTATTTAGAATTTGGAAAATGAGGCTCACCAATCTTCTAGTCCCTCTGGACTCCATCCCCATCCAACTTCACTAGAATTCCATCCCAGCTCAACCTGAACCCCTGGGAAGCTATTCCCTCTATGCCCTTGCTGTCTCCAAGGGACCTGTAACCACAGGCAGGCAGCCCCACATTTTCTAGTCCTTTTTAGTCCTCTGCTCATAGAACCAGGTGGCTGAGTTTTTCTGGGAAAGGGCACTAAACCACGCTGCCTGCATCGTCCCAATCCATGCTGGTTGACCCCATTGGAGGCCACATGGCAAGCTAGATTTCTTCTCCTGATGACTGACTGCCATTCTACGAACCACTGCCCCCGTGTCCTCCATTTCTACTGCAAATAATGAGGCTACATCAGAGAAACAACCTCAACCTCACTTCTCTTCTCCCTCAGAATATCTTAGCAGCTTCATCCTCTGGTCTCTGAGAAAACTGGGTCCCAAGTGTGCTGCTATGCAACAGAGGCAACAGGCTAGATGCCGCCAAGCCACAGCTGTGGAGCCGACAAGATGCTGAGTGAAG